GATGAGCTTATAAACGAAATCACTATATCATTTTGCCTACAGGCGTCCTTCAAGTTCCTCGCCCCAAATGAGGAAGATATATATATATATATATATATGTGTGTGTGTGTGTGTGTGTACACACATATAATGTGTGTGTACACACATATAATGTGCGTGTGTGTATATATATACACACATATATGTATACATATATATATACATATACAAATATATACATGAGTTAAGTGGACAATCAATCAAATAAGTCGAGAAATTACCATCTCAAAGGAATTAAATTTGTGTTTACAATCAGATGAGCTACATGTCAAGCTCAATATGCGTATTGTATCCTCTAGAAGGACTAGCACTTTACCCGTGATTAGTCCACTGTGAACCTCCAACACGATCATCGTTTTCATCATCAGGATTCATGATAGGGATGTGCCAAGTGTTTTCTGCTGGCTGCCAACCTAGCACAACCTCCTTTCTCATCCGGGCTTAGGACAGGCAATGGCGGAGTTATGAACCTCCAATGCAATATTACATAAGGGGTGCGGTTTCTATAAGGTTGCAACTTTAAACAATCCAATTAAGGCGCACCCCCAAATTTTATCATAACATGTAATTTTGGTGTTAAAAGTTCTTAGAATTATCTGAAAATCTATTTTTTTATCCAATTATAAAATTTTAAACTCTAAAAGTAGTTAAAATCAAGTAGATCTACAAACATACGATAATCTTAAAAATGGATGGTTTAAATAATGTGTTGTAAGATGCACTATTTATGGGACTCAAAATCCTTTGTTTTTTCATATTCATACGTCTCGATATCGAGATGATCAATTAGAGGGTTTTTCAACATTAAAACAACCTTTTCCGATAGATTTTTGAGGTGCATTTGTAATTCTACATTTTAAGGTTTCAACCTGATATAAACTTTTTCCTTACATAAAAATAAACAGAGCATAATAGTATATAACTATATTTAGAAGTCAAATTAGATCTTAGAAGTTAGACTTAGAAACTAAGTACTCAAGTCACAAATTCACAATGAAGAAGCAAATTTTAAACTTACTAGGTTCTTTTGCTGTCTCCATTGATAATCTAAGCTTGTCCAGCTACCTTGACACTTGATCTTGTTCTTGTACTCTGGGGATGACTCTTGTTAAACACTTGTTGATTGCGGATATAAAACATCTCATAATATCAATCTGGGAATTGCTATAAAATAAGAAGGGTTGAGATAATACCTTTTGAGGTTCTATTTCTTTTCAATAATCTTCAAAATAGGAGAATAATGCTTTTGCTATATCTAGAGTTTTTCATAATTTCCTCCGTGGCAACCTCTATTGCCTGGTAAATATGATCCATAGCCAACTCCTTTTCCCTGTTCGCAATGTGCAACACCTTAACTAAAGGCTTGTAGGCCTGGGGGGACTCGGATAATCCCATTCCAAAACTTTGGTTGCAAAACTATGTCAGCCACTATTTTCCCACTTGTTGTCTTGGCCCACTTCCTTTTAACCCCCTTTCAGATACAAAGATAGCCTTGAGCTTTTCTTTTTGGGCCACAATAGGGTTCAAAGACAGATATGAGGTGGCAAATCTAGTTACCCCAGGCTACTACAAGTCCCTCTTATCTGTGAACCTCATCATAGTCAGCTCATAAGTGTGGTTGTATATGATTACCATGATGGGTTTTGCATTCTAAAGAGTTGAGGCCACTGCTTTTATCTTGCTAATCGCCTGAAGCTTGAGATTAATGTAGTGAGCCATAAGTGATGTCCAAAAGAGTTGTGGCTTCCTCATCTCCAACATTCTAGTCGCTGCCATATTGGTTCCTGCCATGTCTGTAACTACCTGAGCTACATGACTCTCCCCCACCTCAATGCATTTTTCTACCAAATCAAAAATAAACATTGCATTATGAATCTTGGCTGATGTGTCAATAGACCTCAGGAACATTGTTTCACCGGATACTTCATCATCAAGTTCGTAGTACTCCTTTGCCTCTCATTGGTCCATGTAATGGACATTATGTTGATCCCATATCCACACCATGCATCCCTATGTGTAGGAACCTTATATCCTCGCCCATATTGCCCCAATGCTTCCACCATGACCTGGAAGCTCTTCAAGCTAGCAGCTTGGAATGGAATGCCTCTTTGATAGATCCAGCTCGCTAGATATTGATCTTTCTTCTCCTTTAGTTCTTTCTTGAAGTGGTTGTTTATAGTTTTTGCCTCATTTCTCGAACTGCAATCTCAAGATGGAGGGGAGAGTAAGAATCCGTAGGCCTCCTTGCTTGAGGCCCTCTGTACCCAATCTCCAATAGCCTACTACTCGAGTCCCCTTCTCTATCATAGACTTCTTCTCCTTTTCCACAAGCATTGGCTGATCTAGTGATATCATTAGGCCTTTTTTTTTTTTGCTACTTCTTTCTTCTTTAGGAACCCTGGCAAATGGTCCAACATCTCTCTTGTCAACTTCTGCAGGGACTTAAGAACATGGGGCTACATCTTCTGTAATGCGAGTCAAATGTTTCTTCAATCTATTAATGATGGCATTTTAATGTTTCTTACAAAATTTGCACTCACAAAAATCTTGTCATTAGGATTTGGCCATGATCCATATTTCCACCTAGGTCAGGTTGTTTATTAAAACTAGAAGAAGACATCTTCACCTACTCAAATACTAAAAGACAAAATGAAGTATTTATTTAAAAAAGACATTATTACTGAATGTCAAGAAAATAAGCGCTTAGTAGTTTAAAGCCAAAAGTATTAATGCAAAATTCAATAATTTACTATTTACTTATGCAGTATTTAGCATAGTTACTGGAATGTTTTACCTCAGGTGGCGATTCTGCTTCAGAATCTTGATTCGGTGATTGGATGAATGAATCTTCAAGGAACCCGATTTTTTAAAGTTAGGAATCTCACTTCCACCTTTATAGAATCTCTATTTAAATTTTTCGGAGTATTATACAGCATCAAATACCTTGATTCATAGGAGCACAAAACCATAATTTGATCAACATGCTATCTCGCTTCCAATTTTTAAGGATCGATCTGAGTTATTTGGAATCCAGATTCAACAAAATCTCATATTCAAGTATGTATATCAAAAAATAAAATCTCATTTTGAAGTATACATAAGATAATACTTGTGTGTTTTGTGAAGACAAACATGAATTCCTTAGTGATTGGTGCCTAAAAACTCTATGGGTGTCTACAAACTCTATTTAACATTATTTTAAATTTTGAGATCCCAAAATAAGTATCTTATGTTTTAAATTTTATTATTAATAAACTGTATGTATTTTTTAAGTTAACCTTCCTCAAAAAAATAAACCATGTGTTTTACTTTCTTTATTCAATTATTTCAACCTAGAACCTCAGTAAATCTAATCTAAGCTCAAGGACTCGACCTTGATTCCAATCCCTTTCGGAACTGTGATTAAGGTCACTCAATACATCGATTTCAATACTAGGGAAACCCTTGGTAAGGTCTTTAGGACCGTTTGAGGACGTCAACTCGAATAATACAGGAACCCTGGCTATTCCAATACTTAGGGATTCTTGCGATACTCTAAAACCTTGAACCTTTTGCCCTATGAAACTTGTTTCTTGATAATTCTTGACATGGTTCTAGTTGGGTGGGTGCGTGATACTGAAAAGGTAAGAATCTCGATTCCAATTGGGTTGGAGTGCGATTCCAAAAAATTAGGAAGCTCGATTCTTGCAATATGTACGGATGATGCTTCCTACCAATAGGAATCTTCCAGGCACTTGTGATTCTGCCCTGCCGGTTCCTAAAACGCTTCTGAATATTATCATTTGATTTTGTAAATTATCAATTATTCCTCTAGGTTTTTCCTTAAAAAAAATAAGAATAATATTCCTCTACGTTGGGTGAATTCAGTGTTTCAAAATCCAGTAATTACTTCAAGTCTTCAATTGATCTTGGCTCCAATTGAGGTGACCATTGTTTGCCGGAAGTCCTTGTTGCCAACCACTTCAATCCACAAAAAGTATATAGTTGAATGCCTTCCGATTCTTGTGAAATTGAACTTCAAAATTTCTTTCAATCTTAAAAACAAATCTCAAAATCGTGTCTTAGAGACTTTCCTCTCTCTAAAACATCAAAGATGGTTTGGTGTGGTGGAATACCCCCCAAACCCCTTCTCCCCTATGGGGAAAATTCCATATTTTTCCCTTGGCTGAGAGCATTTTCCACCCGCTCCCCAAGGGCATCGTGGCACCGCCTAGGAACAGCAGGTGCCTAGGCGACGCTTATAGTGCCTAGGCGGCACCTAAGCATATCACCTTCTAAGGCGCTACACTGTGGCCATGTGTCCTGGCCCCCTAGGCGGGCTTCTAGGCCACCATGCAGCCTAATTTTCAAGTGTTATTTAAGTGCAAATATCATTGATGAATTTTGGGGTTCTAAACAAGAATCCTTTGAACATTATCTTTCTCTTCAATTGAGGAGCAGATTACTTAAGAAATGTATTGCTAGAAATTAGTTCAACTACTGTCATTCGCCACTAGCCTTTGTACTACATCAAGGGCTTCCACCCATTATGGTTCCGTAAATTTTTTAGTTGTAGGATTGTGATTAGAGTTGTAGGCTGCCTGGTTGTGTCCATTATTTGATCAACACACAAGGATGTGCATAAGAAATTTGCAGGGTCATAGGAGAGTGTTGGAAACAGGATATTAAGAAAACAACTGAGATTGATTTGAGAAATAGAAACTTTATTGAACCAAAACATTTTTGGTTTGTCTTGGGAATTGGGACTGGCGTTTTCTCAGAATCTCTATCTGTACTCAATACTTTCTAGTCTTCTTAGAGCATCTACCATGATTTTTTTTTGTTTTTTCTCATCTCTTGATGCGTATAAGGTGTGAATAGGTATAATGAAATCTTTTCTGGAAAGGATGTAGTAAAATTGACCTTGTATTGCTAAACAAAAATTATGTCTCATATAACTTCTCATTATTTCTTGAGAACAGCTGCTTCAGTTGTCAACTCGACCCATAGCAATCCGCCTCATGAAGATAGAAATGGAGATGGAAATGTAAGCTTTCTGGACCTTACTCCCTGTACATTACTCTTTTAAGCATATGGTTGATACCATTGTTTGTTTGTACCCTGTTTTTTTTGAACAACTGGGGCACGAAATACTTATATGCTGTCATAATGCTTGAGCACAAGCTGGGAGTCATTGGGTTGAAAGTTTTTCTCATCTAATGGATGAATACATGTTTGAGCATCCTGAAAAGTCATATCTAGTACCTTTTCCTTATAACTTAGAGTTTTTGTTTTGGTGATCCATTGTGATTAATTGCACAAATTGAATAATTTTCTTGAAGGACCATTTGCGGTGGTACACTCCCCCCCTTAATTTCATATTACCAAAGAGAAAATTCGAATTAGCTTGTTTGTCATGAATGTCTGACTTAAATTCAAATAATACTGTTAAAGTGCCAAGCATCCAGACATTGAGCTTTTAATTACCTGATAAAGATATGGGGTTGTATACTATGAGACCATTTATTTTTGATACAAGAAGGTCACAACTTTTCTTGGCCATTGGATATGAGATCTAATATATTAAAATGTATCATAGCTTTTGAGAAAATTTGTTTCAGACTTTGTGCTCAACTAGTGACACATCACCAACCATCCAATTTCACATCCAACGGTTAGTAATAATTGTGACCTTCTTATATCGAAAGCAAATGGTCTCATCATATACATTTCCTATGGATATTATTTAGCATAGATCGGTGTCTGAATTTTCCGGTAAATATAATTGGGATTTCATTGACCTCTGAGTAGAAGGTTTCTCTCTTTGACAAGCTTAAAGTATAAATCGAACTCATGGAAGTTTCCCATCATCCCATATGGAGTGAATATGGTCAATGTTTGCGGAGACTGATGGGATGTTTCAATTGTTGTAACTTCTTCAATGGAAGACTCATGCTTTCTGAAAATAGCCTTGAATGAAGAATGCAAAGTGGCTTCACATTTCCACCATGGACCGTAATTTTATCCTTCACATTACATTTTTCCGCAAAGCTCATTCCCATTTCTATCTGTTCTATGATTTGTCAGAACACATTCATTCATGCAAGGGATAGGTTAAAGTCAATGTTACTATGACCTTAAGTTTGATATTCTACTGTTAAACTGGTATGAATTTCATGACAAAAAATAAGGCTAGTTTCGGAAAGAGCTTTTATTGCAATTAAATGCAATATAGCTGAAGGTTCTATGGTGGTCCAATGGGGAGGTATTGGCGAGTGTTTTCCAACATCATTACAATGGAGATAATTCAAAATACTGTTCCAATTCCCTGTTAATGAAACAATGAAAGCAAAATATTTGGAAGGATTCTTTTCTTAGTTGTCCCACTGTATTGTCTTTAACTACAGTTCAACAGTTTATGTTCAGCAGTGAAGATCATATTGTAATTCAGATTGCAAAGGTTTTGGTAAATTCTGTTTGCGACAAGGGTGGCTGTCACTTCTCACATAAAATCCAGATGACATTGAAATTGAGCTAAGAGAGGTCTTAAACCTGCTGTGCAGGGTTATCTCGATTTCTTGGGACTGCCTGGCGTAGGTTGCCTAGGTTTATCGCATCTTAGATTCATATGATCATAAAATAAAATAGAGTTGATGTTCTTATAGTTTCTCTTGCAATACTTAAGAACCTCTAGTACTTTGTTGGAGGTAGTAGGAAAGAGTTGATGTTCTTATAGTTTCTCTTGCAATACTTAAGAACCTCTAATACTTTGTTGAAGGTAGTAGGAACCAATGCTGTTGCAATGTCAATAATATATAATCCCCAATTTCTAATATTATATTGATAATTGCAAGAACAAAATGGTGATAGAAACAATTATAATATTTCTTGTAGGTTGCGCTTTTGCTAGATTGGCGCCGTTATTGTCATTTTCCTCACCTTCGTTAATCTTTTCCCATCAATTCAATTTTCTAGAACCATCTTTTTATCTATATGCTCATTAATGTTGTTTCTTTCAATGAAAGTATCTTTACACAAGAAGCTACTTATAGGCTTCAATAAATTCTCTAAAAACAAAAGATAACTTGGAGCTGAAGAAAATTATTCAACATTGTACAAGCATCTAAAAGGGCTTTCATTTTCTTATAGTGAATTCTAACTCTTTAATAAGACAACAAAACTTAATATTAACCTAATCATCCTAAACAACTCTATGAAATGGAAACATGAGACAAATCGTTACCTAAGAAAGTTAAAAAGAGATTTAAATAAAGCTTTTCAATTATGGTACTCTGAATTTGTAACATGTATGAGAGATGAGGAATCTGTTCAAATTAAATACTGCAGAGATCCAATATTTTATGTGCTTATGGAACTCCATTTTAATATCCATTGTTATACAGATTCTCAGAATTTATGATTTCCTATAATAAATAAAGAAAGGTCCACCAGGGATATAAATTATTGATATCAAGGATATTAATGTTATGAACTTTCTAACCCTTTTATGAGAAAACTATCCGAGGAATGTAACATTTGTGGACATCCTTTTGGATTTGCCCATCTTGGAAACTAGAAGTTTTTTTTACCAGGTCCTTGCATCATTATTCTAAAGAGAAAACATCGCCTTTGGTTTAAATCCATGCCAAAGAAACAGGTAGTGCCCTCTAGTCTTCAATATTGAATGGATCGTAGAACATATTGCTTAGACTATATTAGGAGATATGATCCTGTCCTTTGATTGCCCCTGATAGAGGAGATATGATCATTGCCTCTGATGGACTGCTTAAAACATCTGGTTATAAATTGTGTATCTCTCTAATAATTAATATTTCAATGTTCAGTGGCATTATATAGTAGTATACAAATATAAAAAAATTGTATAATCTTCTTATTTAAATTTTGTTTTAATTTCGTTTGCTACAACTCTTGCATTCAGTTTTTTTGAGCTGACTTGGATAACTAGAAATTTATATAGGATGATGAGAGAAAGTAAATGTATTTACGAAGCTGAATAGCTTTCTATACGAAATTTTTGTATAATTTCCTTCTTAATTTTTTTTTTAATTTCTTTTGATACAAGGGTGCAAATTCTCGATAGCGATATTGAAGTTTTCGAAGTTGAATAATTTTTTCATTGTTTTAGACTTGAGAGTCCTACTCGGACTTGCGTGAGCCACTACCTTGTCAGTTCCAAAGGATCCCTACTCATGTAACCCAAGTCTTTCACTGAGTTTGCTGAAGCATTCCCAAGTCTGTCCGAGTCTTTAAAATATCCAGTGATTCTAGTCTCAGTCGTGACCTTCAGATTTCAGACTTGGCGAGCTAATTTGGGCCGCCCTCACTTGTTTCTATGTTCGTAAACACCGGTTCTTCTCTTGGGAAAATTTCATTATTTGTAGAGAATTTATTGAAACTTATAAATAGACATTCTATATAAAGACCCAGGAATAAGGAAACTTCCATTTGAATCCTTACCATTTTGACACATGGTGCATGGATAAGAACATGGTTTTAAAAAGTGTAACGATGGTCAAGGGTTTGTAGATGGTGAGTGTGACTTTTCTGGAATTTGACAATGAAGACACCCAATACAACAAAGATACCTACTTGTAAAAAACATTCTAATGATTTACATTTTGAATGTGTTCTCATTATTTGGTACGAATCGTTAGAAACTTGTGTTTAAAAAGTATTGAAATTTGAAAGTGGAATGATATTGGTTCCACTATTTTTTATGATTTTTATATTATGCTCGCACCGGAGCATATATTATACCCTTGCTTCCTTGGGTAATAGCGCTACTGAGGAGGATTTCTTTTATCTAAATTTTTGGATCCACAAAATCACCATATGACCATTTCCAAAAAGAAAAAATTGGATTTTGAGTTCTTTGAACTCAAAATCTTATATCTGAACCAATCGAAAAAATTGGATGGTCTTTGTTCAATTTTTTACGACATTATTTTTTTTGGGCATATGCAGAGTGCAAATTTGAATTTTTATTTATTTTTCTTTTTGGATGTTGGCCGCTAGGTTGAAGAGGCTACTTCCTCAAATTTTGGGAGCCTAATAGTGCTCCTAGATTGAATTCTACATGAGGAAGTGAATGGAGGAAATGTTCTTGGGGAAGTATAGCATCTTTTGACCGTATTTATTATGTATGAGAGATCGGTATTAAAAGATAAATCATAAGAATGTCAACAGCATGAATGTTTTGGGGAAACTATTTATTTATTTTTGGGTTACCATGTCCTGGGGTTACTATTTTAAAGCTAATAATCTTATGTACTTCTGGCCTGCTGCTGAAATATAAACTATATCTAGGAATGTAATATTAATGGATAAGGTTTTAGATTTACCCATCCTCAGAACTATCTGTTTTTAGTGGTAGGTCGGTGTATCCTAAAATCAGGCACTCAGTAATCTTCAATTAAAAGACCCTAAAACTTGTTTTGAGAACACTTCAAATTTAAATAAGGTTGAATATCTACAATTTCAGCAGGCAATAACAAGTGCAAATTAACATGCTATTTACGAATTTGCTTTAAAATTGATGGGTTTGGTTGCTTTTAAAGCCCGTGAGAACATGTAAATGTAATAAATATAGTACATTGTACACTTCAGTGGTAGTATATGATTGGTTGATTGACCAGGGTTTGGTAGTCTATAGCCCTAGCATTGTCCAAAACCCTTTCCTTTGGACATATGCACTACTGTTAAGGGTTTCTGGAGGTTCATCCTTTGTTGAGGTTGGAGAGATGCCAAAAGGTGGTTTAGGGTAGAAGAGCTTCGTGATCTCCTGTGTGTGGTTGTAGCCTTGGACCAAGGGCCAAAATCCTCAGTAGACTCCCGAATGGTATGTACAAATGACAACCATATTTTGAGAAGTAACCCTGTAGAAAGATACATGTACATGTGCATAGAGAGAGTCCCCTTTGCACTGTAAGGATACATGCATTAGACTTTCTTTTAAGGGGGGAACCTGTAGTCCACATATTGGATTCGTGATTCCACTTTTTATTGGCTGTCTTTGATGGGTAGGTC